AACATAGCCCATCTAATGCGTCAGTGGCGGTTTTGATGATAGGATCCGCCGTAGGATCATCTGCCTTCAAGGCTGTTTCTAGTTCGATATCAATAAGTCGAACAAACATGTTATCAGGTAACAGGACAACGTCCTGATTATCCGTTTCAGTGGGGTGGTGATCGGGACGGCGTGATAGAGCGTCTGGGGGCAGCGAGTTTCGTTCCTGCTACGTGATGAAATTCGAGGTCGAATTCATTCAGGGTAAGCTGCCAGCGTGCTTGGCGGCGTGTCAACTGCTGAGCGGATCTGAAGTAGAGGAGGTTCATGTGGTCCGTAAATACGATTACCGGATGCCCGTGTCCTTCAAGATAATGTCTCCATGCTGTCAAAGCACGGATAACGGCCAATAGTTCTCTATCATATATTTGATAGTTCCGCATTCTGCTGCATTGAGGGATGCAGAAAGATAGGCGCAGGGGTGGTAAGCGCCGTTTTCGTCGGTCTGTAGTAGCACTGCTCCAGTTGCTACTAGGGAGGCATCCGTTGCAATAGCGAATTGCTTTGCAGGATCGGGGTTTCTTAAGACAGGTTCCGTCATAAAGCACTTTCTAAGTGCTTGGAAGCTGTTTTCTTCTACTTCAGTCCAGCAGAATGGCTGGGTCTTCTTCGTCAAGGTTGTTCAGGGGTTTCGCGATGTCAGAAAAGTGCGGGATGAAATGCCGATAGAAGTTGCAGAATCCGAGGAAAGATCGTACATCAGTGACAGTCTTCGGTGTCGGCCAATCTGCGATGCCCTTGAGTTTGGTAGGGTCCATTGCGATCTGTCCAGGGTCTGATGATCATTCCAAGGTAGTCGACTTCCTGTACGTCGAATAGGCATTTCTCCGCTTTCAAGAACAATTTCTCTTTTCTGAGGATATCTAATATCCGGCGGGTTCGTTCGTGGTGTTCTTCAAGGTTTTTCGAAAATATCAGGATGTCATCCATGTAGACGATGAGCCATCCTTCGTTCAGTTCCTGCTGGAACGTTTGGTTCATATAGGCCTGGAAAGTACCGGGGGAATTGCAAAGACCAAAGAACATGACATTCGGCTCAAAGAGTCCGAATTCAGTCGTAAATGCCGCCTTCCATCTATCTTCAGGGTGAATCCGAATGTTGTTATATCCAGATCGGACATCCATCTTGGTGAAGTACTTTGCGTCGCGAAGTTTCGCTAAGAGTGGTGGGATAAGGGGAAGGGGGTATGCGTTCTTTATCGTCCATTCGTTAATATACCGGTAGTCTTGACAAGGCCGTAGAGATCCGTCTTTCTTTCCAACGAAGAAGAAGCCGCTTGACTGAGGGGATTTCGAGGGTGAGATGAATTCCTTTTTCACATGTTCGTCAATGAACGCTTTGACCGCGACCCTTTCTTTCTCGGATAAGGGGTAAAGCTTGGAGGATTTGGGAATGTATCCAGGTTTGGTTTCAATCCTGTGGTCAATACCGGGTCTATGAGGTGGCATAGAGTTAAGACCGTCTTTGGCAAAAAGGTCGGCGAAGTCGTGAAGATAAGAAGGGACTAATTCTTCGAATGTCTTCTTCTTCTTCTCAATCTCACCTTCCATGGCTAATTCCTGAGATTTATTGCTGGTCTTCAGGTATTCGGGAAGTGAGGGGGGTTTTGCCATTTTCTTGGTTTCGAATGCCGAGGTACCGTCACGAGTCAGGGGAGTGTCCAAATCCAAATTCTCTATCAGGCAGTACAGCGGTAGGCGTCCTGGAGATATTCAATGAGGAATTCATCGTCGGTGAGGGGAAAGGAGGCCAATTCTTCGACTTTTGGTGCGAAGTTATCCTTTATCCAAGCGTCATACTTCTGATCAAAGTTCGGGATTTCTAATCCCTCATCTTCTTCGTCTGGGTCAGGGTTCAGGTGCGGGATAGGTTCATCTTCATCGGGGATTTCCTCGATGGAGGCACGGAATTCTTCCTTCTTCTGGCGGGTAGGCTCAGAGGAACGGAGATCTTTTCTTGAAGTCATGGGTTCAGGGTTCAGCTGCCTTCTTGGGGGTCGCTGGTTCTTTGATAGGCACCTTCTTGGGGTGCAGATATTCTTGGGGGCCTTCCTGGGGTAAGGCTTCGGTTTGAAGAGCGGTTTGAAACCTGCGTCCTTCCTTTCTTGATCTATCCAGAGTTCTACTTCTCTGGATCTAGGGGTCTCAGTTGAGGGTGAGACAGTTTTCTGCCCAGTTGATGTCTGGGTTCATGGCTTTCAGCCAGGGGAATCCAAGGAGGATGTTGATCCTTGGTTCGAAGCTTGGTCACATTGAATTTTCCATACATGACTCGCTTGTCAATCTTGATGCCGAGTTCGACATATTCTCTAATCTTTCCGCCAGCGGCAAGTCACTACCGTCGGCGGTGACCATAGGTGAAAGGGTTTCGAGAGTTTCTTGGTCCGAATTCCGTGATAGTCGATGAATTCGGTGCTGATGAATGATCCGGCGGCGCCGGAATCGATGACTACGGTGGTTTCGACTGGTTTCGCACGTTTAGTTGGGAGGAGAGTGGCAGGGAACACATAACTCTTCTTTATTACCAACATGATGTACAGTGCGAACTGGAATGGGAGGGACTGGCGTCGATACAGACCTCCATTCTAAAAATCCCCTTTCTTAGTCATCCTACGGGTATCCATAGTTTCATCGTCGGAATTCTTCTTCTTATGCTTGGCCTTCACGAGCCGGTTTCTTCTCTCTTGGGTGATGTTCCCTATCATTGGCTCTGTGGCCAGTCTGATGGCATATGAAGCATTTGCCTGCTCTCATATGTTCGGCTCTTTCTTTCTCTGAGAGGCAGTCGACCTCCATGGAGTCTCTGTCTCCTCGCGGTTGGTACCTTTCAGGTCCGAACCGGTTCTTCTTCTTCTGGTCCTGGTTGTGGTTCTTGGGCCTCAGCGCTATGATCTGCTGATAGGCGTTATCCATCTCTCTGGCCATATTGACCATTCCTTCGAAGTCCTTCGAGACATTGCCTGCTCTGTAGATAGCATTGGCAATTCCGAATTTTAATCCGGCGGTAAAGAAGTGGACTCTAGATCCTTCTTCGGTGAGACTGGTTAACTGGAAGAGATGTCTAATCTCCGCGATGTATTCTTCTAGGGATCCTTCTTGCTTGAAGGTCCTAAGCTTGATCCACGCTTCGGTGGCTGCTTCTCCCGTGGTGAATGCCTTAAGGAAGGCTTTCTTGAAATCTTCCCACGTTCCATACCCAATGGGTTGCTTATTCTTGTCTAGCCTTGTGGCGTCTTGGGCTAGAGTCAGGAAGTCCTCCTTCCAGGTTAATGCCGTCTTTTCATTCATGAAAGAGGTGGCGAAAATGATGCATTTCTTGTCAGTGTCATAAATTTCACTGTTGATGTCGAGGTAGGCGGCGACCGAGAGCAAAAAGCTTTTTGCGTTCTTCTCGTTGCCATCAAAGGTCGGTGGGGTTCCGATCTTGATTTCAATTGGTCTATGCGCGGCTGCGGCTGCTGCTGCTGCTGCTGCGGCGGCACTGGATGAGGCGGATGGTCCCGACATATTTCCAAATGCGGCGGCAAGGATGTTCGCAGTTATCGAATCAATGTTGTCAAAGTACTGTTGGAAAACAGGTACTGGGTGAGGAACTTAATCTTTTGTTACGACTGGGATAGTTCTGCTGTTGCCGGTCAAGATAGACCTGTCGGGCGAACAGTTCGTCGGCCTTCCTAATACAAGGAAGGTTTCTGGTGGTTCCTACTGCACGAGCCGCGGCTTCTATGCAGGATCAGCGGCGAGTGGTTTTAGCACTTCTGCCTAAGCGGTGAGTGGTTTTAGCACTTCTACCGCAATCAAGGGTTTCAGGCTAAGACAGTGAGTGACTGTCTTAGAATCAGAGTTCAGGCTACTAAGGGTGGAGACCTTAGTAGATCAGGTTTCAAGGGGAAAACCCAGTAGATTAAGTTAAGGAATACATCTATGGTACATGAGGTTTATATAGGTAAAAGGAAGCGGCATAGCCGCGGCAAGAACGGTAACAAAGATAGGAAAAGAGTACAACCTATCAAGATAGTAAAGATAGGTGAAACCGCCATGCGGCGCAAGATAGTATCTATGTTACAATCAAGATAGAGGAGAAGTGCGGACAGCCCGCTTGATAAGAGAATAGCCGAGTCTAGGTGAGTCTAGAATCGGTGGCATGGTTACAAGAAAAGGAAAAATGAAATAGGAGTAAATGTTATTGTAACACCAATGGAACAAGGCCAAGAATAATTGACATCTTGGTTATAATGGTCTGTCTGCACATATGCAATGTTGGCAAAATCAAAAAGCACGAGAAAAAGAACAGGGTGACACTATTTTGCACGAGAAATGAGTTAAAGGCATTCCTGCAGCAAGTATTTTTTGCTCACCAACAAATAGCAAAGGGGCTGCCATGATGTGGTCATTTTTGAAAAGCAAACCAAAGCTTCCATACCAATCCCCCCCCCCAGTCACTGGCCTTTGAGTCACCATATACTGGCAGTTCGAACAACTTGTTGCCCATGGTTGCACCAGCAGTTTTCACTGGTTATCTTTCAGACTTATCAGACTCAGGTCTCAAATTTACAGATGATGATGTTGACACCAACCATGATTCTGTCTCATTGCTGCCAACAGCTCAGTCTCCCTTACCAATTCAATGGCAACCATCTTTAAAAAGACAATGATTCGAAGTTCCTGTACATGACGTGCATCAGCAAGCCAAACATAACCGCCAAATAGAGAGGCAGCAAGCTCTCTCAGACATCCCGAATTTCTCGATCTCCTCCAATCTTCTGACACAAAATCAATGAAAGTGGACGAATCAGAAACAAAGCTACTGCAGCTAAAGCACCAAGATCTAAGGAACCATCTGAACCCAAGCCCACTCAACTTGGCTGGTACCCACCATACTGGAAGGCCTTCCTTGAGGATGCCAAAGGAATTTGCCGTACCCAGCATGCAATCGAGAACACATTCCCAACTTTGGCTGATGATCTACCCATCTCCGTCACCAAAGCTCTCACATCATCTCTTGTAGAATGGCTTGAAGGCAGTAAGCAGGTTGAACCAGGTATGTTCTTTTTTTCCTCAAGATGTTTTACTCATGACATCTACTAGGTCTGTGGCCCGATTACAAGCCTGACATGGCGAAACTGGTATGTATGTCAGTTCTCACATGTTCAGATTTTAATGTTTTGTTATCCTAGCTGTACAAAGATTTGTCAACCTGGCGCTCTGATTTGAAGAAAATAGCAGTCGCCATAGCACCCACCATGTATAGCCTCATCCCCCCACCCAAAGTCCCTATGCAAGATCATGTCACATAGGTACAGAATACCACTAAGGAGCTTTTGGATGATTCGCTTTTTCTTTGCAATGGTGTGGATGAACTGGGGAAGACTAATAATGCTGCTCACCCTGCACTCTGGGAGGCTGCCATCAGTTTCTTCTATACCGGATCTTATTGTGTTGCTTGCAGGAGGCCAGAGATTTTCAAGAAGGAGATACCGTTGAACAGTCTAGCTTTGATTTGCACCGCAGTATCTTTTATTCATCTACATTATATGCTATCAACAACTGATTGAAGCTGATTTTTGTAGTACCATTGTGTCCTGGACAGCTTTATCAAGAATGGCAATGGAAAATCATTCCCAAAATATTCTGCTAAAGAATATAGCACTAACTATCAGTCAATGATTGCTCTACTCAAGGATGTCAAGAATGATCCATACCATGGACCTAAATTGATGTGGCAACTTCGCGAGTGGGCCGCAGAAGGATGGTGAGTTTTTATTTAACAAAGTCTTGGACACTCATTGAACTTGTGCAGGACAGAGTCTTGCAAGCTTGACAGGAGGGACACAACAAAGCATAATCATTTGCGAGTCATCTTGGATTAGATTTTGGGTGTTTTACATTTATGTGTTCCTGTCATCGCTTATACTACCGCTTACTACTACATGTTTCCGTTTATCTGTGAAATGAATATATTTTGGTAATTCTGCATATTTTTAGGTTTTTATATTTGCAGTGATTTGCCTATTTTTAAATGTGAGAACAGTGGTATGAGAATGCCTGCTACTGGACAGTAGTATACAATGAGATTTGTGGTGAATTGTGTACAGAAACGAAGTTCTTGTGGTGTCTGTGAATGTCTGTACAAGGATTGACAGAGAAAGGTGTTACTGTAGTAAGCTGTCCAGAAAGGACCAAGCTGTCCGCCTCTCACTCTGTACAGAACTGTACAGAACCCAGTAGTTTACTGATGCATGGCACATGCTACATGGCCAGCCATGGCTCATAGACCATGCTCAGGTAGCACTGACCCTAGAAGGCACTAAAAGGCTCATGCTGTCACGCTCACATGAAACCAAATGTGGTGCTTTCACTGTAGAATTGTTGCTCGAGATTTGGTCAACACTGAACCTCTCCACTCCTCTATACACCACCATCTTCACATGTTTAACAACCTCATTTTTCACCATCACACACACCGGTGAATTCATGATTTTATCCCTCACCATGTTTAATCCAGATGTGCACATCAAAGTCATGGATGTACACCACGATACTGATCACAACAGTTTCACGGTGACCATCTTTTGCCTACCCAGAATGATAACCAAGCCAAACAGGGAAGATGCCTACTGGGCTGCTCAATCCAGGCTCACCAACCCACAAACCACTCTCTCAAACCACTTCACGGTAAATGCACCTTCTGCTTCACATACTCTGTTCAGTTGGAGACATTGCAGCGGTATGAGGGTGTTGACACAGTCTACATTCCTCAAGTGCTTGACAGAGGCTGGAAAGTGTTTAGGCAAAAGTGACCTAAAAGGTCATAGAATCTGGATTGGAGGAATGCTAGAGTACTTGTTGTGTGGTGTGCTGTTCAACAGCATCAAAGCAATGGGATGTTGGAACAGTGATGCATTTGTGCTGTACTTAAGGAAACATGTGTTGATCCTCACTCTATATTTGCAAGATCAACACATCTTGGAACCTTTTATGCACTATGCACTACCTGCATGAGGGTGAAATTTGTACACTCCTTAACTTTGGGGCCAAGCTCACACTCAATGTGTCATTTTCCCTTTGCACCTTATTTCTATTCCAGGGTATTGTGGCTCAGATTGTCCTGCTAGAAGGCACCCAAGAAAATGTTTCAGTATAAAGCCCTGTGGGCTTTTTCCAACATACATATACCATTGTTTCTGTTATCATTTGAATCTGCCTTACTCAAGTCACCCACTTTGCAACTACGGTCTCTGATTACTGACAAATCTGTTTGTGAATTCCATGGTCAATTGTATTCAGTGTGAATGTTTAACAAGCAAGTACAGTATTAACCAGTAGATATACCTAAGTACGAGATGAATGTTATTAGTGCTGGAGTTGTAAAATTGAGGTGGATGTTCCTTTGCTGCAGCTGCAATAGATTTGTATAACCTATTTGCAATTCCCTGAATTGCAGCATGAATAAATGACTCATATTTCGGGTCTGACAAAGCTCTGAGTTTTCCTCGTCTACCGCTGCTAGATTTGCGAATGCGGACCAGCCCATGGCATGGCACAGCGCTGCACCAGGCACTTCCAAAGTGGGTGTGTGCAATTTGAAACTCCGTCACGGCATGTATCGGCAGGTGACATTTCTGCATGACTTCAGCACTTTCGACTATCTCACTCAATTCTGCTTTAATCGTGGTCGCTCAACCTCTTAATGAGTTGTATTAGAGAGAGAATGATACCTATGTTGAGAATTCTGTATTTAAGTAGCTAGAAATACAAATTTTGTGAAAATGCCGACTTCTGTGAGGTGCCGATTGCAGTAGGGCTAAGAGCCCTAGGATTCGAGTGGGCCTATCTGTAGTTATGAGGAAGAGATTTATCGATGTTGCCAGCAGGCTTTGACGTAACGGCGGTAAATACGCTCCTGCAGATTCTACCAAATTTACACCATTTGACAGCAATAACAATTCTGCCAAATCGATCAGGATTGTGCCGATAATAATATGCAGGGTATAAAAGCTGGTCGTCGACCTACAGTTTTTCCCCATCCTCAGAGATATCATTCGAGAACCCCTTCAGAAGATTCCATATCACCTCGTGAAGAATGCATTTATCCATCTTCGCTGTTGTTATTATTGCTTTGACAGCATCCATGTTGGTGAGTGCATGCGCGGACAAAGGACAGTCTTGCGCAACAAGTCACGACTGCTGTGATGATAACATGCATTGTAGAAGCAATGACTTGAGTGTAAGCAGGTTGCTGTGTAACCATGATTCAACTATGACTCACCTGCACGCCTTAGGGTCATGGAAATAAGTCGTGCTACACATGGTGAAGATCGAGCCGACAGCCCAAACAGTGTCGCGACAGTAAGTCATGCTTCTGCTTTCGTTCTGGTATCCTAGCTGATGGGTGCAATACCCAGTTCGGAGCCAACCGATACAGTTGTTTCTGTACGAATGTTCATACTGCTCGACAATGTGAATGTTTGAATTTATCTGAAAATGATCAACCGTGTCTAGTCTTGCTCGTGGTCAACTAAGCTTGAGTTGGAGGCACTGTCGAAGCGCGATCATTGCTGTTGGTGATTAAAATTGGGAGGCTATACGAAGATGAGACGCACTGCGCAGGTTGAATTTGTTCGTCTAACGTTGACCTCGAAGTTTAGCTCATGGATCTCTCCCTTGATGAAACCAACGAGACGCCGATCTGGGGTGCACGCGCTCTCGATCTCACAGCACATGCAGCAGCCGTCTGGGCCACCTCAATGGACATGTGGGCGCTTGAGTCAGAGGATCCTGATATCACCGTTGCGCTTCATCTCCCGGCTTCAGGGCAAGGACAAGGGAACGTACCGCCCAGAACACGTCTCGCGCTCCTGAAGGCCCCGTCGCTCGTGTTAAAGCCCCAGCGTGAGAGAGGTGAAAAAAGGGCTACCGCGAAGCCATTCCTGCGTTCCTAGATGCTCTGCCCGCTGAAGAACACAAAGCCTAGATCGCAATGAAGATGATCGAGACGCCATACGGGGTAAGCGGTTATCTCGTATGCGCATCTCCCTCGAGTTCGGCTACAGACAACGGGAGCATAGAGAAGAAAGTTGTGGGCTAGGTATCTTTGGGACCTGGGTATGCATTGTTTGGAGAGGGAGAGGTAATAGAGAGGAACTTGGTGGGATGGCTTGTTAGGACCAAGGGTACTAGTACAGAGTAACGAGGGTGGGGCTGCAGCTGTATTTTCAGTGTTGGATAGTGTGGTTCTTGTTTGATGCATTCAGTTATTGGATAGAAGACTTGTAAGTTTAGAGTTAGAGGCAATAAATTGTCGCTGGAAAACAGTGACTCGACCTACTACACGAAAGGATCAGCCTAAGGACGCAATGCTCAGTTGTTGATTCACCTATATTAGCATGCATCCGCTCTCAGTTCATATCCTACAGTCGAGTCCTGAACGCGCTTTGCAAACTACCAAGGTCGGCAACACAATTATTGCACGACTTTCAATGAAAATGTTGACCATGCTTCGGGGTTTGACGCACGTGTGGATCTCGAAGAGGTAAAAGCAAGACTTTGAGGAGACATCAACGAGACCGGCAGTGGTAATTTACTGATGGGCTAATTGACCACACATAATAATAATGCAAAATGACACGGCACAATATAGTTTGAATAAGTATACTACTCTCGGAGGGGCTGATCCAACGAGCGATGTCTGAAAACGGGGATCTCAACAAGAAATTTTGACTGGTCTTGGAAAAGCGATGTTCTGTGCTTGACCTTGAGCTTCGCTGCTGCATGTAAGTACTTATTTCATTCTGAACGCGGAGTAACGCATTTTATGCACATAAGTTTCATAATATGCAACCTTTGAAGAAGTCGGTGGACAAGTGCTCCACTTAATCTCATCAAGCGATATAAATTCGGGACTGCAAGAATCCACTTCAACCGTGGCTGACTCGGATGCCCAAGACAAGCCTCTCTCTCAGACTGGCTCTCAAAGACACTCGGAAATTGCGGTTGTTAGGTCAGAAAAGTCGAGTGCTAGGCCTAATCTTGTGGTGGATAGTGCTTCGCATGAGAATTCCGAGTCCCAGTCAGCGGATAGTACTAATCGTGTTGGCATGCATAGTATTAACAGCTTGGAGTATTCCGTGTACCAGTTGAAATTGCCAGCAAACTCACCTGGTGGTGGTGACGTGTTCAAGTTCAAATAGTCGTACGTTCATGATTTGAAACTCATCCGACTTTGAAACGAGGATTGCGCGCGCGAATATGAATGACTGACCGAGTAGCGTCCATGTCGTTGAACAGCGTCGGCTTTTGAGCCCAAAAATGATCTATAAGAAGTGCGATTTTTTACCGCCGCTACCGATTAGCAGTCACTAGTCAGGTGGTATTCGCGTGCTAGGAGTCACAGGATGACTAAAAGCAATGTCGTGAGTAGTGACTTCCAGAAAGGGTAGTCCATTATGTCTTGGGGGAGCAACTGATATTTATCCTGTGATTCCTGTGACTGAGCGACTCCTCCCGGATACATTGAAATGGCGGCCTAAACCTGTTCATTTCATTTCACAACCACAATGGCCACCCGAAGCAGCTCCGCCTTTTCATATCCTCCAAACTATACTTTTACCTCTCATCGTCTTCATCGAACTCTACATGCATCTGACAAGCAGCCAATCGTCCTTGTAGCATGTGGTTCCTTCAACCCCATCACATATCACCATCTCCGAATGTTCGAGATGGCAAATGACTTCGTTCGGCAGAACACCAATTTTGAAATCATTGGTGGATACCTCAGCCCTGTCAGTGAGGAATACGAAAAGCCAGGACTGGTTCGAGCCCATCACCGGTATGTGCGACCTTCGGGTTGTAGAACCTAATCTTCGAATTCATATTGAATCATTAATACGCGAAATAGGGTCAATATGTGCACGCTCGCTACAGAGCAAGAGTCTTCAGGGCTCATGGTCGACTCGTGGGAGACATTCCAAAATTATCAACGCACGGCTGTCGTCCTTGACCACTTTGATTACGAGATTAATACCGTCCTCGGCGGGGTATCTACCCGAGACGGTGAACATCGCGATGTTCGAATCATGCTTCTCGCTGGCTCAGACCTCATCAGCACCATGTCTGAGCCAGGTGTTTGGTCTCATAATGATGTCAGTCGCATGCGTCGCGCATGTACTCCAAGCTAATCAGCGGATTCCTAGCTCGATCGCATACTTGGACGTTATGGCACGTTTGTTATTGAACGCACAGGGTCCAGTATGGACCAAGCGACAGACAGCTTGGCGCGCTGGCGTAACAACATCTATCCTATCCCCCAACTGGTCCAAAACGATGTTTCCTCGACGAAAGTTCGGTTGTTCTTTCGTCGGGGTCTTTCGGTCCGGTATCTCATCCCAGCTCCTGTTATTGATTATATAAAGCAGAACCATCTATACCTAGACGACGGATCGGGCCCAGAGAAAGGAAAGGGGAAGGACAAGGACAAGGAAAGTGAAGAAGCTGAAACTAACTTTTGAGACGGCGGGTCTCTACTGAAATCATAACTGGCTTTCAGTTGATACCTAGGATAATCTATTGACCTTGAATGTACAACAATGTGTATTCCCCAAGAGCCCGTAACCGAAATACCAGTTTGACTCGACCATCTTGGATAGTAGACCAGTAAACATCTTCAAAAGCGTATATGTTGAATTTGAGCTGTGGTACGTTTGTGGTCCTGACGTAGCTTTCGGGCGGGAGATCTGGTCACTTGAGAGGACTCGCAGAAGAAATTTCATGCACGATCCACACATTTTGTTTCACACTCAGGAGGTCCAACCCCGAGTCATTTGGAAGCTGGTGAAGGTCGAGGTCTCAAGATCTCATCCTAGGAGCCCACGACAACACCACACTATAGATTGGCAACCGCAAGTAACAAAATGCACCTGTAGAGCCTGAGAGAGTGAGTAAGCATGATTCGGTCCGAGTCACCGGCTTGTCTCCATTGTTGTGAGGGATAAATTTGGCCGTTGCAGGTCAAAATCAGGGGGTGGCCCGTATTGAATCATGTAAACAGTAGATGGCGTGACAAAGGAGAGGCGTCGTGGTTGAAAAAACAATACAGCTGCCCGGATGTTCCGCAGAAATTTTGCGATGTCTGGTGAAACGTGTCAAAGACGAGAATTTTGGGGCGCTCTGTGCGGTTGGATATATAGCGAGAACGACAACAAAAACGTGTGTTTGACTGCAAGCAGATGGTTTTGGGGGGAGGAAGCACCGATAGTGATCCTGACCTGTGCAAAAGTGAGCCGAGGTGAGTTGCGTGGGCGGGTGAGCAACTTTGCAGCCTCAGGATTAGCAGGTTCGTATGTCAACCACGCTGTGTAGCTAAAGAACCTCAAGTTGAGTATGAGTATGCCAGTGGTGGAAAATTATGATGTAGGATGGGAAGGAAAGGGAATAGTGAGTTGGGAAAAGGAAATCCAAAAGGCGGCACAAAGCGAGCTGCAGCGATAGCCTGAGCGCTATGTGGTAGGCGGAGAAGAGAAACCACGTGTTGCACACTGCACGAAATCTTTATTCTAACCCTAGAACGCAAGGGCCCACTCCAAACATACAAGAGGGCAGGCTTACGAACAAGATGTTGGCAAGATGAGGACTTGAAAGGGTACACCATTGGTAGAGGGGAAGAGACGAAAAAAAACATCGGAAGCTTCAGAGATCTGATAAACATCGGTGACTCGGTGTCGAACTACGGTCGGCCTTGCTGAGCCGTGGGTTCAGCGAGGCCGACCGTGGCTCAACATGTCTCAGGTTAGCTCGAAGGAAACTAGTTGAGTGCTCTCGTTGTCGGCGGCGAATAACTTCATACACCACGAAAGGGAAGCGGAGAAACAAAGGGATATGCAAACTTCGGATCAGACTGGAAATTATGGGTTGCACAACGCGACGTCGCAGGGGGGGGCGACCTTTCTTACATAATAAGAGGCAGTCAGCCAATTACATAATATCATGTATCGATTACGGATCAGGACAAATGCTATGCAGTGGCACCATCAGATTGCCGACACGTTCTCCGACATCAACTCATCCCAGATGTAACGTTGATGTAACGAGGCAACGCACTCACTAGCCTGACAGTACTGAGTTTTTGCAAATTGCATACCCCTTTCACTTGATAAATTTCTAAACCGTGCAAAGCACGTGGAAGTTCGGACCCCAGAACGATACGACAGAAAAAATGTCACGAACGACAGACTCTGAACGTCTACGAGACGATATATTTAAAACTGCCAGCAAAGGACGAAGACTGAAATAAATCGCCACCATCGGCAGGCCTGTTCAATATGGTTTTGATTACCATTAAATATACACAGAGTCCCTTTTAATAATATGGCACTCACCCCGAGGACATTCTCACTTGATTTCAGTAGGGAGTTCATTGAAATTCTCAAAGGAAAACCTTGTGAGACAAATCAATGAATTTCGCGTGTTTACTACCCAGTGATATTCTAAGAACCTTTTAACCCTAAGTTGTACAATATTAGCTAGTGGTCTAGAGCAAGTGCAAAGCTAACATAACAGCGTATATAACAATGAATATGGTCTGCGAGTGAAGACTGAAACGGAAATAAACTTTTGGAGAATCTGACCCTAGAATCCAAACAAGAGCAATTGCGAAGGCGGAACTGCCCACAATGAACGGATTGTTGAGGAAGGCCATCATGACGGCTGCTTGAACGACAGTTAAGACTATCCGAGTCTTAAGAGGAGACTCTAGAAGGACGGGTATGGTCGGGACTCCAGTCTTTATGTCCTCGTCGTAGTCACGCACGTCTGTCATAATCTTTGGAAGACCTTGAGTTGGAAACATTTTTAAAAGAAAAAGAATTGTCTTACACAATGACAAGTGCGATTGACCGTCGACCAAACGACGGTCTCAATAATCGTCCATGGAGGTGCATGATAGGCCGATTGCCATGATAACTGCAGTGCTGTGTAGACAACGAAGAACATCCCACAGCTGTCTTCAGGTCAAAAACCGTAAACCTTGGGGATGCGACAGCACATACCCTCGAATGATACCATCAAATATAGCCTTCATGCCAGGAACTCGTTTGATTATGAATGGTTCGTTAGCTTTGGGTGAATCATATTCCACTTCTCCTTGATCATAATTTGCCGGTATGAATTTCTTCAGTACTACGTTGATGCGCCCAAGATCAAGTGGCGTCGCCCACAGAAAAGCGGGGACAGCAAAAAGTGCGGTGACGAGCGTCATCTTGGGTGGGCTTAAACATAAAGCTGCCACAAGTAGCAGCACATTTAACGCCATAAAAATGCGTGCAAGGTGGAACATGGGGGCAAAGCGCTTCATGATAGCCGCACCCCGAGCACCGATGACAACTTCCTGATCCTTCAGGTGATCAACACCGACAGCAAGAATGTCGCATGTCACGCATACGGTGATCTTTTATGCTATCTAATCAGAAAGAGTGTGGAATCCACGGACAAAGGGCTTACCGGCCTCCAGTCAAGCCGCCCAGCAATCTCATAGGATAGGAGGGATGACAGCACCAGACTGCTAATCGCCACGATGATGGGCTGCAGTACCACAGAGCCAATGAAGGTTGAAACTGTGGGTGAAGTCATTCTAGTTGAAGGTAGGTTCTACGAGTCCGCAAGCCGATTGAGAGGGTATATGATGGAGTCGAAGCTTTGTAGGTGGCCTTTTATCATTCCTAAGAACTTCCGAGGAGACTCCAATATCGGATATAGATGTGCATTTACAGCAGATGGAAGTGAAGACCTCCAGCACCGCTAAGCAGTGGCTGTCACGGCGACTTCTGCTATGGACCACCAGTCCGGATGAACCTCCCCGAATATCTCTCTGCCATCAGGTTTGATCTGACAGACAGACCCTGAATTTCGCCCAAACGCGATCGCATGCCTGCCGACTACACCCATACCCTAACTTGCTGCAGTCTCTTGCTGGCTCCACCTCGCACTATCAAAAGCTTAATGTTAAATGAAAGGACCTCGAAAACTCACCGTTATGGGGTGGAATCTTTCTTGTACGACATAACGGACAACTTGTGGTTAGGTTGGGTATGAGTAGTCCCCGTACATCCACTTTAAGTCCGCAAATCCTAGCATAATTAGACAATAGTGGTGCCGGCAATTTGTTGCTTCGACTTAGCCATGTTCGGTCATTGGATCAATTTTCAATTAAATCGGCCACAACACCGGTCCGTTGCAAGTGCGTACATATGGGACTCAAACAACTTCAAAAACCGAAACTGCTAGTAAGAATCTCATACTAGTGTAAATATACCCTTGGGACTGATTTACAGCTCTTTATATATATCACTAAGTGCCAGGATTAGCTCCAGATTGTGCACCTGGTTTTGCCATCAACACGCTACCTAGGAGGTGTGTTCGCCGTTCGGTCCCTCGGAGGACAGCGGAAGCTAAAATAAGAGTCGGAAGAGAGTTCAAAGCTAACCATTCTCGACATGTACACTGTACTAGGCCCAAAGTATACCCGACGTCACCATCGCTGATTCTACCACAGCAATAACACATTCATGACATTAATATTGTGATACCTCCACTCATCAATCCACGACCGAAATTCTACCGACGACATCCGAACCGAGCACGCCCATTATGAAGCACGCTCATAAGCAGGACCGGTCTTGGGAATAGGTTGTTCCCCGAAATACGAAAAAAAAAACATCACATGCCTACTACATCAAAATTTTGTCGTTGTCAAATATAGTCACTGGACCTTGCGATCGCGTCCTCTCGTAAACTACGATCTAGATTAGACGAGCTGGTCACAAGGCTAATCACGACCCTACACTTTCCCTGATTGGGCCACTACCACGTCGGTTCAACTTCATTTGCATGCCAGTGGGAGCCGTTCTATAATCATAAACCGTGCTGTATAGCTCGAGTCAGGCCATTTCACGGACGTTTTCAAGTAAGCATACTAAGGCCGCCGATCAGCAAAAACTTCCCATGCAAACTTCAAATTAGAGCTATCTATCAAACTATCACTGGTCAATGCAGTTCTAAAAAGGATGTAGAGTGCATTATATTCTCGAGAGTGGGGAACTCGGAGCATCTTCAAGTTGTAGAGGATGGAGTAGGTATGTATTGCTTTAAATAACCTTGTCATTTGTTCATCGGTTCTCTGATGTCAGCCTCCAGCAGCGTAATTTCTGTGCCCAAGCTCGCACGCGACGCGAGACGCACTGGTGGTCCGCGATGGACGCCGCTTACTTTTTCACCGAGTAGAGCAGAATCCTGGATCTTTGAGCCAAATACAGCGTACGCTATCAGCTCGCATGTTTCCTCATTCGGCATGGGATTCGTGACGGCGAGTCCCTGCAAGCTGTCCATAGTAAGCCTTGGATTGGTTCGGGAACTAATGATGCCAGTCATGCAGGCACTCCTGCCTGTCACTCGAAACTGCCCACTTGAGCAGAATGTCCTCCATGTCCGTATGACACAACACAGCCATATGATGACTGTTCCTGCTGTTGATGCTGGACCCCCGCTTAAGCGACCTTGCGGAGCGAAATGATATCCACAAAGGAAAGTACTGCATGCATGAATTTGTACGTACAATATGCGAGGGACTGCGTAACGATTGACTCTACTTCCGAAGTGCACCGATCTTTGAAAGACACCGCATACAATAAGATAGATAAAAGCTAACGTAGAGAATTGATGTAGGATATATAGAGGACGTGCCGTCAGAATTCGTGGTTGAATACATCACTCTCGTCCTGTAATGTGGCAGCATGGTCATTCTCCATCGCTACATGCCCATTGCCTTGTCTCCCAGACCCATATGTTCCACCAGCTGCGTCTTCTGGCACCTCCAAATCAACACTTGATCCTGTTCGGCGTGAGTAGGTTGATTCTAAATCACCAGCATCATCAGTCGTAGAGCGTTTCTTTGACTTCTTCTTTCGTTTTTTCTGCTCGGGGGCATTATACGCATCCTCCGTTCTCTCCCACCTATCTTTCTTCTTTTTCTTCTTCCGTGCTGGAGCGTTTCCTGCACCATTAACTGTATCATTGAAGTTGGCTGGGTAATGCCAACGAGAACTTCCTGATTCAGCTGAACGCATGCTACCTTCACGTTCAGGGTTGTAGAATGATTCGTCGTCAGCCTTCCAGAGAGCACTGCCATTGGTTGGCTTAGTGGATGGATCCTGTGTTGATGAACGACTTGGCGCCACTTGGCCTTCCTCTAGAGGCTGGTCATCCAGAGCAGAGTTCGGATTACGGTCGTTGTATCTCCCTGCCCACTTGGAGCGCTGGTCATGACGCTTGATGGTTGAAGTGTCGACAAGGCCGTAGCGTTCGACCCACTTGGGTGTGCGGCGGCGATTCTTGTTATTCCTGATATTCTGCAGGTTCAAAACACGTCAGCACTTCAATCCACAAACAATGAGGCTAGTACTCCTATTACCTGTATATAAAAGTTATGCACGTGTCCTGGAGTAAGGAAGTTTCTTAAATACAATCAAACCGTCGTGATCAAAGCCCATACCTGGAATGTATCCGCAAATCGTGAGTAAAAGATTCAACCAGAAGTCCTTCCCGATTCCGAACCTTGCTGCAACAGCTGGATTGGAATGGCGGTTTAGCACTTGGTTTCACAATAGCATTACATACGACAACATCACAAATATACACACCTAGTGGGGGGAAGAGCGTTCCCATGATGAAGAGTATGACAGCGTATGCATGATACCTCTTGACTTTTGGTCTCGCTGGTTTGTTAGTCTTTGCAGGCATGATGCTCGTCGTGAGCGACGTTCATGAAAGGGAGTAAGAGCCGATGTCATCTAGCGCTTGCCACCAGTACAGTGTTGCTGGCCGCCGCAATTTCTAAAAGAGGAAACAACACGTGAATGATGTGCCGTTACCTAAACAAGCGTCGTGTTCAAGGACCGTCCGTCATTGGACTTCAAAGTTTCAACGCTAACCTCGACCATCAATACCGTGCTCATCGGTGGACGTGACGTGTATACATCTCCGTGAGTAATGGAATTGTTTGATCTATTTATCTAGTTTCAGCGTCCTCGACAGCAATCACATTTTGACCTCTTTCGCACCACTCCGTGCTGGAGGCACATCACAATTTCTATTATGGACCATGATGAAAACGAACCGGTGCTCGACCTCTCAGATGTCGTACATGATGAACCTTTGGGCTCAGATGAAGAACAGATCCATAGCGGAGATGAGGTCGACGTGAACGCCCCTTCCTCATTCTCCGATTCATCACACCACGGACATTCGCCACATGATGGCGTGCCCCTTTCCCTCGACACGTCGGTATCTCCGGAGCACTTCTCAGTAGAAATGCTGGAGCGCGAAATCGCCACTCTCCTTCACCAGAATGCGACGGCTGCATCTGCTGCACTCCTGAGTGCCGCCGCGCAGCAGCGCCAGGCGCAGAACGAGCAAGACCATGATTCCTCCATTTCGCCTTCCGCTCCAGATGATACACAGAAAGTCAGCGATAATATAACTACTGGTGATGCTATTTCTGGTCTTGGTCTTAATCTTCGTAGTATCACCGCCATGCTGCAAGCAGCACACGCACAGGCTTCGTCCAATGAGCGCCATGCTGAGTCTTTAAAGCTCCACGATCCAGAGCTGGAGAATGGTCTACGCACGACACGCACCGCCCCCGCGTTCCACTCTCTAACGGCTGGTGATGCTGATGACTATATTGTGGATGGTTCTCGAGACCTAGGACCTCGGGATTTGGACCTCCTTTACTCCACACAAGAGATAAGGAATGACGAACAGAATGACGACCGAAATGGGAGTGACACTGCATGTTCACCACAACACAAACCTCGGACAGATGCACCAGACGCTCACGAAGGCGTGCCTGGAGAGTTCAATGACATCAGCGACATATTGAATCATCTTTCATCACACTTTGACACCGAAACAGAAACGGATCCTACTCACGGACACCTCCAGGTACCATCGACCGAAAGTACTTCCCCCATATCTCGTTCTCGTACTACACCTGCACAGTCACCCGTACGTTCTAGTCAACCTCTACCCGGTCCATCACGCCCTACTCCACAACCCATTGCTTCTACATCGACGGCACCAAAGAAGTCTCCCGAAAGCAAGAGGTCAAAGAGGGGGAAGGATAAAGACAAGGATAAGGATCAAAATGTCGAAAAGGAAAAGGCAGTCAATATACATGCCTGTGAAGAACCACTATGTCGCAAGACATTCACTCGGAGGAGCGATCTTGCGAGGCACATGCGGATCCACACCGGCGAACGACCATTCGTCTGTAACCATGGCGGATGTGGGAAGACATTCATTCAGGTTTGTATTGTCTATCAAATTACACGCAGTATCTTATAATTTTTTTGGGCACGTAGCGATCTGCATTACACGTTCATCAACGGGTACACACAGGCGAGAAACCGCATTCTTGCGAATATCCAGGGTGTGGAAAGACCTTCGGGGACTCGAGCAGTCTCGCACGGCACCGGCGAACGCACACAGGAAAACGACCTTACAAGTGTGAAGATCCAGAGTGCGAGAAAACGTTTACACGTCGCACAACGCTCACCCAGCATATGAGAACTCACGATCCAGCATGGGAACCAGATCCTAATATGTGAGTAATCCAAGCTTAATGTTGTATTCACGGATAGTGATTGGATGACGCAGAAAATACAATTTCAAAGCCAAAAAACAGAAGGTTTCTGACACAACACAGGATCTTGAACTAGAAGAATCAGTGCGCACTATTTCCGCGCTATTCTCGCAAACTGGTGGCGTCGCAACCAGGCCCCTGGAGGCTAGTGTACCGGGTGAGCCACTTGAAGCCAGAGTAGCAAGTATCAGTGCAGAGATTGCTGCTGCAATTGCCCAAGCATCTTCGCGCGCACTAGACGAGGACGAAGATGAAATGGAGGAAGAAGAGGGGGTTGACGATGATGATGGGTGGTGCTCTGGGCATGAGATCGGGAGACCTGAGAGCATTGTGCCTAATACGAGCGGAATCAGAGGCAGTGGTAATGACGACGGTGGTGGGAAGGGTATTGCAGGCGTGGAAGACAACGATGAGGACAGTGACACTTTTCCTATCCCACTACGGACACGCAAGGGTAAGGAACCGGTTTCTTTGGTAGGAATTAAGAGGAAACGATGATCAAGCTCAAGCTCCTGTCGGCCGGCTCTTGTATGTATTGATAATTCTGTGGAATTCATTCACGGTCTCCGACCCGTACCGGATACTGTGAGAACAACCTGCTGAATCCTGACAAACGTCCACTGGGAAGCAAATCCACATCAAGGTACCTTATTAGTGGTGTCCGTTTCCATCCGCATAACAGACAGGCAGATATAGCGCTTAAGTATTGTGAAACATTTCCATGTTTCCTTGCTTGCACTTTACAACACCTCACCTAGAACTATAATGGCGTCGGTCTCAGAACAACCCCCTAGCACGGATCTGATCACCTTGAGCAGGTAAGCGTGCATATGTTCCGGTAGCAAGCTAGACATTGACGCCTCGCAGACATGTGATGGACGACCAGCTGCGACTGGGAGCAGCCGCCACGGGAGATCTCACCCTCTTACTTATCGCTATCCAAGTGACTAGCAAGTTCATCGCAACCAATGTGCGAAAAGCCCGGCTCATCAACCTGTACGCCATTTCACTACATTTGCAACGACGCCCCTAACATCATATTCAGCGTCGGCCTTGCTGGTGAGACCAATGTCCAAGGCGAGGAGCAGAAAAAGCTCGATGTTTTGGCCAATGACATCATGGTCAACGCCCTGCGGGCGTCTGGAAAGACCGCGGTCTTGGTCTCGGAAGAGCTTGACAATGCTATCATCATCGAGGAGAAAAACAGGGGAAAGTACTGTGTGGTTTTTGACCCGCTTGACGGCAGTAGCAACATCGACGCTGGTGTCAACATCGGAACTATCTTTGGTATTTACGCTGTGGTGCGTCTGTTTGATGATGATATTGTCATTGCCCTGATCTGTTGCTGCAGAGACCGGACTCTGATGGAAGTATAGAAGATGTGCTCAGACCTGGGAGTGAGATGGTTGCTGCAGGATACACCATGTTGGTGTTCCGTATGACTGCTTTTTGAGATGTTCTCACATCCTTCTAGGTATGGTTCCTCTGCGAACTTGGTTCTCTCTACTGGATCTGGTGTTAACGGCTACACCCTGGACGCCGCCCTAGGAGAATTTATTCTCACTCACCCTGATGTAAGAAATCACCTCCTATCACCACCTCCTGTGTCGCACCCAGTTCCTAATCTAATCTCCCAAGATAAAAATACCTCCCCGTGGCAAAATTTACTCCTTCAATGAAGGCAACTCGATGTATTTTTATCCTCCCGTGACCAACTACCTGAACTCGATTAAGTATCCGAAGACTGGCTCTCCTTACTCCGCGCGGTACATTGGGTCCATGGTTGCAGATGTGCACAGGACGCTTTTATATGGAGGTATCTTCGGCTATCCTGACGATAAGAAGAGCAAATCTGGGAAATTGCGATTGCTATATGAGGCATTCCCCATGGCTTTCCTGACCGAGCAAGTGAGTGTCTCAGGGTAGATTATGGCCAGTTCATTACTTACCGTGTTACGCAAGGCCGGTGGAGTCGCAACTACGGGCACGATGCGCATCCTCGACATTGTCCCAACAAGTATACATGAGCGGTGCTCTGTGTTCCTTGGGAGTCGGGACGATGTGCAGGACCTTACTAAATTCTATGCTAGTGGGAAGGCTTAATCACGCGATGATGTGTTGTTGTATCGAAGTATGTACTGCCTGCCATGTTCAATGGAATTAATTCTATTTCAAATCATTGCGTGGTTTTTGTGTCGATGACTGTGCACGGTATAGGCTGAAATTGAAAGCCACGCTTTTGCTGATTTGATCACAAGCCCCATTCTTCTATCTGGAGTTAGAGCCGTAAGTGAGTGAATTTGTTTAACAAACCCTGAAGGGTCTTTGGTCTTCGAATTTTACGACGCATGAGATTTGACGCGATACTTGCGCGATAGCACGCACAACAGTAGAGGGATCCAGCTCTACGAGTAACAAGGCAAGCTGCAGCTGATGACTCGCATCGGATATCGGCGCCGGTGGATCAGATGGTTCCTGAAATCACAAGCAAATATTGTGCTGTCACTGCTTGTCAGAACTTAACTTGTGATAAATTATTAGTCAGTTTTCTTTTCGACAGCTTAGTGAGCACGCAATAAGTACCACAAATCTTATCAGTCTATTTTTCAATCACCCCCCTCACCGTCGTCTTACACGCATCGCCATAGCTCACGCCATTTCGACTCATTCATGGCTCCGTTGGGCTTACAAGGACTCAATCTTGTTCATAGTAATTCTCCTACACCACAGGACCATCATGACCTACTGGCATCCTCGCCTTTCCCCGACTTCTCAGCCCACCTTGACTTGTGGACAAACCTTGCCTTCGAGACCGACGAGCCTCTCGCACACAACAAGGGAAAAAGAAAGTCAGTAGACGAATCAGAAGACGAAGCAACCGCCGCTTCTCCTTTAGGCTTGCCTATCCAAGACGGCCACGAAAACGTCGTGCACCCTGCCAGCACCACCATCACTCCCCACTCAGCACCACAGCTTGATCTGAATGCGTTATTGGCTGGATTTGGGATCGACCCGTTCTCACTCCCACAATCGGTGCCTACCCCCGCGGATAACGAGGCGGTTCCTTCGCTTGCGCAATTGCTTGCTTTGCATACTGCTCAAGGAGGGACTTACTCTGTTCCACCTCCACCTCCTGTCGTACATGCCCAGTCTGCCTCACAGCCTGCTGCTAAGCGGGCTCGTACTTTGAAAAGCCCATCCTCTGCAGAGGCGTCGGAGCCTGCATCACCATCTTCGCCTACTGGGGAAGAGACCCAAGGCGATTACACCAATCCATTATCCGCTGCGGAAGACAAACGCCGCCGCAATACTGCTGCCAGCGCACGGTTCAGATTGAAGAAGAAGGAACGGGAAGCAGCGCTCGAGCGACGCTCAAAAGAGCTTGAAGAGCGTGTTGTAGAACTGGAACGCGAGTGCGAGGGCTTGCGTAGAGAGAATGGGTGGTTGAAGGGACTTGTGGTGGGCGTCACGGGCGCTGGTGGGAAATAAGGGTAAGGAACGACGTAGCGCTGTTGAGCGACAAGTCTTCTGCTGAGTGGGGATTAAGCGCTCTCGGCGTTTGGCGCCAGGGATAAGATATCCCTTCGCGAGGTGATGGATTATGAGGAGCTATCGCACGACGATGATGGAGCGTAGAAATCCCGACACGGTGGCATGAAGTGGCGGGCACCATGAAGTATTCAACCGCTTTGTATTATTATCGATATTTTTTGGCTGTTTTGATTTTTTTACCGTACTTTCATGAACAGCGAGTACAATTTTTGTTATCATGCGGAGTTCCGAGGCAGTGAATTCTCACTGCTGTTTGTAAACCGACATTGTGGCGTATCTACTATGGTGTACAGATATCGGTGTACATATGATCACCGCACGACCTTTATTTGGCCTTGTTGAAATCGGAAGTCGAGCATCTCGTTGTTCGCTATACATGAATGTAGCCAACTGAACTTTAGTTTAGAGAATCTGCCAGAACAACGTCAGGAACAGTAGAGAGTTCCCATGGGCACGCACGTTGGCGCGGGTGACACACTTTGTCTTGGCGCTCAGCAGCATTCGTGATCAGAATTAGTTGCATTGCGACAACCATTTGTTTTGCGACTCCGGCCTTATTTAGTAACTCTGAAACTACAGGTCCGTGCGCTGTTGAAGATGATATAAAAGGGATCTGTTTACGATTTGAAACCTTACCACTCTGGCCTTTTGGCTTAGATCAAGTGTAGTATCTGTTCTTAATAGTTTAACCACTATTATGAGGGCACCGCCCTCATTCTTTGGTTATCAAATTTTTGCCGCCCTTGTTTCTTCGAGCTCTGCTTGCAACTCGAGGAACATGATGACCTTGCCACTGCACTACAGGCTTGCGTCGTCGGGGGTTCCTTTTTTAGGAGTTCTTTATCTCTTTGCTCAATTGGTTACTCGTGTGGTCTTTCGACTACTCATGGCCTTGAGCAAACAGATTATAGACTCTGTGCCTGCGCTTATACGTGTTATAATCAAAAGTTTGGCATACCGCTCGTTGATTGCGCCAGATCACCTGTTTCGCACCGGCTTCTCTCTGGCAATGTAACCTCGACATGTTTTGCCTAGCCTTCTGAGTCCTGCCCGCTCATGTTGTTGCCTTATTTTAATGTTATGTAGTTGCATTATAAAAATCGGGTTAAAAAAAGTTTTGCGGCCAGAGATGGTAAGCAACAGTACTTGCGTGCATTGGTTGTCACCTGATTTGCGCCGAACCGAAGTACTGCTATGTAGTCTCAACGCCGTCTTTCCTTCCTTCTTCAGGCCATAGCTATGGGTACAGCGCTGCCATGGTGGCTCAAATTTCTCGACCAAGTATGCGCCTGCTGTCTCAATCAAAAGGAAGTATTGAATCCCATCTCTACAGACATCCAAAATCGTGTCCACCTTGACTGCTGCAGCCATTCTCTATACCCGCTCGGCAGGTGTAGTATATTTCGTCACTGGCGCAGTCTTATGTGCAGCGCTTGCCAAGTCCGTAAAGAAGGCAATTCGACAGGAGCGCCCATTAAAGGACTCCGCGCGCAAAGTATCTTATGGGTGCGTAAATTCCATTCATTTCCAGCGACCCACACAGTCTAATTACATCGTCAACACCCTCCTGCAGTATGCCTAGCTCACATGCATCCACCTGCACATTCTTTGCAACATATATTACGATGGCCTGCCTTCAGCTACCTGTTCACTCTACCTTGCCCGCTTCTTTTATGTTCGCTCCAGTCCTCATCTTACCATGGTTGTTTATGATAGTCATGTCAAGAGTCTGGTTGGGCCATCACACATGGCCCCAGGTTTCAGCAGGAACCGCTCTCGGAGCCTGCTGTGCTAGCTTTTGGTTCAAACTATGGGTGGATGATGCGGCTGGCGTCAAGACAACTGCTCGGCAAGTCGAAGCCATGGTGAGATCATGGCTTGAACAATATTAATCATCTCGGGAGCGCATATATATCCATCCTACACTTGAAGACATTGTATTTTGGCATGTTTCAATGACTGTTGTGGATCAGGCAAGTACCTTGTCCTTTGTGTCTCTATCTTCCGCTAATTTTGTTTCGGAAAGGTTTTTTAGATATACAGTAAATCTCTTCGTAATAGATGTCCCTCGTTTCTTCATTTTTGTCGTCGGACAGACAATAGATGCAAGTTAGCGTTCATGGGATATTTCTTTCTCCTGCAACGGTTTTCCACCTGAATAGCGGAATATAATTGCGATGTCAATGTAGTACTCTTAAGTATAAGTGAGAAAAAACTAAACTGGCTGGTATCTTTTGACTGAGCATGGTAGTTGGCTCCTCACACTGAACGTTGAATATTCATGACATCTTCATGATCTGATTGCTATATTTTTACAAGTAGGACAACAATTCATGAAATTTGTTCATCGCTTTACTGATTTCATGTCGCGTGACCGACGCGTTACGTGTGACGCGCCTCCTTGAAAGCACGCAGTTTCAGTTCGCATATTTCTTTTCACTCGTACTCTGTCCAAAATCGAAGATGAGCCTGCGCCGATTTGCACAGGCCAATAATGCAGCAAATACTCCAGGGACACCAATCTCTTTGTCGCCCAGGCCCAATGGTGCAGCTTATACCCCAGTCACACCCCGCCCACGCGTGTCATATGTTCAATCTCCATCTTCCACACCTTCCATATCTTCCTCTACGCCATTTGACTGGGATGCTGCACGGTCAAGGAGACCCCCACCTTACGCTTCACCTCTTAGCGCAAAGCGCAAATCTCGCATGAGTACCGTCCCGGATGGGCTCAGGCCACTGCCAAAGAAAGTTGTGAAAAAGAAAGGCATATTTGAAAAGTCAGTGATGGTTTCGGGTTTTTGTGTACAGTTAATTGACTAGTCATCAATCCATCCATCATTTCATAGAATCACAGCGTTACCTTCACAGATCATGTTCGAGATCTCACTATTTCCTCACAACGTACCCATGCCAGCTCCGAAAACGACCGGATGGCTCATCGGGTCTAGCATGCACCTGTTGCACCTTTGTCTGCGTGTGTCTCAGATACGCGCCACGGCTGACTCGGACATCGGCTGGGAAGACTTGTATTGGGAACGTAGCCAGCAAAGCTGGTTTGACTGGGTAAGCTACGCTCGACACTAGATCCGACCGACCTGTTCTTACATATCTCTCGCAGACTGTTCCGATGACAGGCGTTCTGTTGGTTGCCTCAACATTGAATGCAATGCACCTTTTCACGCAAAGCAAAACGTATCGCCTTCATCGTCGAACCAAGGCAGACCCCGTTTCCTCGCCACACACCACGTTTGTAACCTCTCCCGCACGTGCCCGACCCCTTTCTTCGGACGAGCCTTCCGAAATGGCCTCCTTCCAAACGCGCATCCTACGTGTGATAAAAGTCGTCATCATTTTCCTGTGGACATGTTTCATCTCCTTCTGGAAATTTCTGCTTGGCATTTCTACTCCCACGCCTTCATCATCTTCACCCGCCCGAGGTGCGCCTGCAGACCAAATTCAACAGCTTGAGGTTTGGACTCCAGGAGAGCTTGAGCGCATACTTCTTAGCGTATATTCCCCTGTCCATGCTCTTATATGGATGTCTACGGGTCCTACGAATTGGATGCTTATGACTGCTGTGATGGGTGCCGTGGGCGTGCAAACCAGCCTTCTCATCCAGTCGTATGAGGGTCTTGTGAAAGATCGAGCTATTCTTGCAGCTGAAGTCATGCATGAGTATAACGAAGGAGTGAGTTATTATCGGGTCTTTGGTACGTTTCCCGCTGACATGATCTTTATCTCAGTTCGTGTATCCGCGAATGAATGTTGTGAAGAAAGACGTTGCTGTCATGACACATCAATCGGAGATGATAAACATCTGGGAAGACTAGTGATCCCAGATCATCATGATCATCTCAGAAATAGCTAGAGTCAAATGAGAAGGTATACCTGCATGCACATTGGACTATCATCGATGCTTCACCCTAATATTCTGGACCTTAGTGCCCAAGACCCGATATACATATTGATTTGTGTATTTTATTCGTACCAGCTTGTCCCCACTCGCATCTTATTAACCTACGTCCTTTAACCTCGTCGAGCTCCACTCCTTTGTGCACTGCTCTTAATTTTAAAAAACGATTAGATATGCATATATGAGCGCTTGAGCAAGGGCTCGAAACTACACTTTATTGAAGCTTGAAATTTTGAAACCTTATACATAACGAATTCGTGTGTAATGTCACGGTGTAAGCCGCGGAGCCACTGATACTATAGAACCCCACTTACTAGTCACTTACTACGTATTTGACTGTACCAGAGTCATCCCAAAGTTTTGTCTATTTGAAAGACAGGAGCTCCAAGGACGCATCTCGAAGACGAAAACTAGGCATGCACTCCTGCTCCAATCGACCATGACCAGCATATTCACAGCCAGCCTGGGGTTATTCTCACTAATTCTCATATATAGTCTGCTACCACGCAGCAAACGATGTCCGTCTGACAGTTTCTCCACAAGGATGTCGCATGTCATGGATGTCTCCATCTTACCTCCTCCAACACGAATTCAACACCTCATGGACGCCATTAGCACAGCGGTATTCACTCTGGTTATACCGCGAGGTGGGATGGGATCCCAACCAGGTGCATGTTTAGTGACTACTCCATCAGCTGCAATCCGGTAACTAATGTTCAAGGACTTGTCTCTGAACCTCGCTACTGATGAAGGTCATGGGTGTACCAGTTCTGTTCATCCCCGGAAACGCTGGCTCGTCGCACCAAGTCCGGTCCATCGCGTCCTCTGCTACAAGACAATATTTTTCGTCTCCTTTTGTCATCTCCAGCGAATTTACGGGTCGTGGAATTCAGTCGCTAGACTTTTTTGCTGGTAAGCTCAAATTCAAATCCACGTAGCTCAAACCAGTGTCATCATAAGCTACCACACGTCAAACAGAGTCTCACTGACGTGTATCCTTTGTTTAGTGGAATTCAACGAAGACCTCTCGGCGTTCCATGGCCCTACTATTGAGTCACAGATCGAATATTCTGCCGCGGCAATACGTTACATCCTTTCGCATTATCCCCCTAATACCCGAATCATTGTGATGGGTCATTCTATGGGCGGCATCGTAGGGACCGCTCTTCTCCCATCCGACGATATATCTGCATTAATAACCATGTCCACTCCCCACACACTACCGCCCGCACGCTTTGACGCCCGCATCGATGAGATATACCAACGAAACGCTGAATCTTTGACGAATGACCCGACGCCCATCGTCTCGATTTGTGGAGGGGCGACAGACATGATGATTCCGTCTGAGTCTTGCATTCTGCCAGATCCTGGGGATGCGAATCCAGGACGTGCTATGTATCGTCGTACTGTCTTCACATCTGCACTGGAGGGTGCATGGACTGGGGTTGGTCATCGCGAGATGGTGTGGTGTCATCAGGTGCGATGGCGGGTTGCTCGTGCTGCTCTTGAGCTTGGAGGAGCGCATTCCGATGTGGACATGGCAGATGTGATGGACACTTGGCTTAATAGAAATGGTCATCTTCCTCCTGCAACAGGCATAGGCATCCCCGAGGCAGCGACCTACGAGGCTCTCCCCGAGGGTATGGATTTGGTCTTGAGAAAACCTGCTGGATCTCGGACATACCTTCTCCCTATCCCGCGTACTCTTGAAGCGAACGCTACGTTTGTTTTGTTGGTATCACGAGGCGGCATATCGCCCATCGCACCTCAGCATTCAACCAAACTTCAGGCATCGCCTTTCTTTTGTGTTGGACGCGCGACATCGTCGACAATACAACAATCTGCAGAGTCTGTCTCGTGTGTATCGCTCGAGCCTAGTACTCTGAAGCTCTTGCCAAGTCCCATTCCGGGAAAACCTTTTCCAGTACCAGATGAAGGGTCTGACGAGAGCGAGGGCGTCGTCCTTTTCGAGGCTACGGTACCACGTACACCTAGTGATGCGGATGACGCTTGGATTGGTGTCCATGTTAACGCTGCTGGTGAAGATGGTTGGGTTTTCGGAGGATTTGACGAGACTCGGACTTTTCAAAGTGATATTGGCGTCTTTGGTTTGTTTTTACATCCCTTGTGTTCACCGCTCTTTTTTAATTGCACCATAGACATCGTTGCTGGTGGCGCAAAGCTCTCGCTGCAACCTACCGAGCGGAGTTTGATGCGAAGGCACATTACCTTTCCGAAGTTGCTCTCGAACGCGCTCGTCGTATACACACTCACTCCACGATTAGTGCGTTCCACGACGTCTTGTGCACGTATGTTAATGGCGCTTCAGTGATCGAGAATATTGCTGATGATATTTCCGATTTAGATTCATCGTCCTTGCTTCCCCCGCTTTTGGTGCACAAATCTCATCCAGCAGAAACTCATTATTATCGCCTTGGACATGAGACATCGGTCGCACTCCATACACATGCATCAGCACCATTCATACCCCTCTCACGATTTTCTCCGTCCTATAGTTCAGAGGTCTGGATATACTCGGTCGGCACCGGCTGCGAAGATGTTAACGAATTTACTTTGACTATCGACTGGTGGGCGACAATCGGGAGGATTGCTACTAGGTATCCTACCACCCTGGTAAGCTGGGCTGTAGGTGTGGTTGCGCTGTTGATGTTCCACGCATGGCGCGAGAGTGGCAAGGGTTCAATGCCGAGTGTGTCACAATCGTTGGTCGCCTTCATCCGTCACCTCCTGCCCAAATCGCTTGCTGCATCCTTCGTTGTAGCCCTGTTACCCTTGAGCCCTGGCTACTACTTAGGAACTCGAGGGGAGCCATTTCTTGGATTACTTGCGCCAGTCCTGCTGGTTGTCGCCACAGGTCTAGTATGTGCCAGCTGGTGGCTCATATTACTCCTCATGTGGCCCTTAAGATTTATTTCCCGGTTGCTGCCAACGACGTGAGTTGTTATCAGTCAAGGGGACAGGCTTGTTGACACATTTCGTTCTGCAGGAGTAGGCGATACGATGACCTGAGCATGCCGCGAAGCACCGTCATCTCTCTCATTTTCATCTCTTTTCTAGTATTCCTGTTGGTCCCATGGCAAATTGCATTTATGGGGTGCTGGTTTATCCATTTGCACACATGTGCGAGCTCAGTGCATCGGAAGCCTTACCCTGGCTCTGTGCCTTCTCTCCGAAGCACACCCATCGAATCGCTTCCGCTGCGTGAGCGCCTTGACGGTCGCAAAGATGACATCAAAGAGACTGAAGAAATAGAGCCCTCTGAAGAACCTGAAATTCAGGACGTGTGCCTGATTCAGAGTTTGGCTACTGTCACCGATACTCTGGATGGTACTCAAGCTTACCATGAGAATACGCATCTCCTATTGCTGATAACTTGGCTTCTGCCCTTGTCGATGCCTGTGCTCGCGGTTTGGGTGCGAACCCTTATGACTGCTGGTTACACGACTCCTTTCAACGGCGACCACAATGTTTTCAAGGTTGCACCGTTCCTTGTGCTTGTTGAGTCCGCAAGTTGCAGAAAAAGTGTTTTGTCATCGCACCAAAGGTGAGTGTTGTTTGTTGCGGTTGAGATCGAAATTCATCCGTTTCAATCATAGTGGGGGATCATACCTTCACTGGGGATACCTCATCGTCGCCTGTGTGTCATTCTTGCTAGGCTCTCGAGAGGCATACAGGGTGTTCGATGGTGTCAGTATGTACATCGGGTGCGCATTAGTCGTGATATTTAGTCCTGTCCGTTTCGCTAGACGCATTGCTACATGATGGTTCAAAGGCTGCGGGTATTCACTTTTGCTAATGGAATGGTTACGTATAGTGGCTTTCGAGGCGGCTCACACCATGGAGAAGACACACCGTTCGCTTCCATGGTATGAGCTGGCTCGGATACCAGCGCCCACTAAAGCCCGACGCGTCGCAAGAACTTCATAATTCAAAAAATTCCCATTCTTTTTGTGCGTTAATAATAAAACATTGATTCTTTCTACCGACCTTGTGTTTTTCCCTCCCAGCGTTGTATTACCACCAGTCTCTATGGGGGGACTGCTTCCAGTTGTAGTAGTATCGAGCGGGGCGCCCAGTGCTATGAGAAAAGACCGACATTTACTTGGTGGCCCGCCGTTCCTTCAGCGACTCCGACTGCCGGCATCAGGACGAATTTACGTAAAAGATTTGGTATCATTTGTGTTATGAACAAAAGGCTGATGGTCGTTGTTTGGTTCCGCAAGTGATTGTGCAAATAAAGGGATGAACGCATAAGGCAAATTGAACATTTGGTTCAATTTTCAACTTGTTCTTTCCTTCCTTCCATCCATCTTGCGTTACCCCCCAAACTCCAATATTGAATTGTTTTTCAACTTGCACTTCTATATTCTGATCACCGTTGTTGTCATTTAGACGACAACCCTTTTTTGAATTTACCCACCTTTTTTTTCCAAGACGTCCAACCTGCGCGCCCCAACGCACACCACCGTTTCGCCTGAGAGCTCAGTTAGCGCACGAAACGGTGCACAAAGGATGGCAAACCCTTCTTCATCTCACCATGAGCGTGACCGCGAACGTGAACGTGAACGCGAGCACCGTCACCGCTCAGAGCGACACCATCATCACCGAACCATATCTTCAACAACCCTCCTACTCGTCCTTTCCCTAGTTCTTGCGGTCCTCGCTGTCATGCTTTCACTACCAGCATCTAGTAGTTCAAAGGCAGCAGCAGCAGCCGGAGCAGAGGACCCTGCTGCATCTGGACTCTGGGGTTACCTCACTCCCAAACGATCGCAAGCGCTTGTCTCTCGCGAGAGTGCTGTTGCTGGACGTGAAGCTGAAGTGGCGCGTCGCGAGGCAGAACTTCTCGTCGGCGCACCTGGTGGCGTGCTTCCAGCTCAGCAGTCCCCAGTTGTTTGCCCTATCTGCCCTACCGCCACTATCGTAGACATCCCACCTGCACATACCATCATTAAAGAAGTCGTCAAGGAAGCAGACCTTGCACCTCCAGGGTGGTGGAAGGAGGCCAATGCCCGTGCCGAGGAAATCCTAGATCGCGAGCTCAGAGTTGGTGATAGAGAACGCGAGATTACCCGCCGCGAGGAGAGCGTCAACAGAAGAGAGCATGACGCTTCGAGACGCGAGGCTTGGATAATGGAACAGCTTGTGTATGTTCTTTCATTCCAATTGGTTGTGGTCGAATTACTCACCGGGCTGTTGTGCAGTCTCATCAACAACGATGGAGCTTCTCTCGAGGAAGAAGTGTTCTATGAGCCTGCTGTTGGCAAGCGGAAACTCAAGGTACCACCAATCGTCCCGCGCCGTCCCGAGCTCTGAGACGAAGGAGGATTTTCCGTTCATTTATGTCAATCAATAAATTCGGAAAATCTTTCTACTCCATCTTGTGTAATAGTCTGTATCTCCTCCTTCGTCCGGGCTTGGGGGACAACGGTTTCATCTCGTCCCCCTTGTCATCGTGCGGTAAAGTGGAGACCAGTTGGTGGCGATGGCTGCTTTTGGATACGACGCGATCGAAACGCGCTACACGTGACGGCTAACGGCCATATCTTGAATTATTTTATTTTTGGGGTTATTTTCCATGCCACCAACTGGATCTCTCGTTGCCGCGACCGAATAGTTTTGCTGATTATGTTTTTTTTTGTTCCACAGGAGCTTCCTCCCATGGTAATCGCTGAAACTGAAACAAAAACTATCATCCAATATGAAACTTTACCTGCCTCGACTGTCACGGTTCCCCCACCTGCCAATACCCGTTTTGCTGCATTCCCTACACCTGAAGTCTTTTCATCGAGCTACACTACTCAAATTCCCAGAACCACATCCATCACTTTTGAAGAAGATATCATTCGTGAGCCCTTGCGGGCTGAGGAGGTAGAAGAGTATGATGTGGAAGAGTATGAGGATGAGGATGTGAGAGCAGTCACGCTTCGCCGCAATGCCCGGCCAAACCGGCGACCGCCACCAAATTCACGTGGCTGGTTGTGGTAAATGGACTTTTGCAAAGTTGTTCTCTTTTTTTATTCCTTAACCGCCTGCTTCATTTTTATTCCTCTTCCTTTCTTCATCGCTGCGTAGTTTCCTATGACTTCTGCTTTGCGATCTGATCTCCCTTTCATACATGACACGACAACTCACGGTTCACAGAGACTGCGTTTGATACGTACGGATTGAGACGGCCTATGACATTACGATCCGGGATACGCGTTGCTTTCTTGAGTATGTAGTATAGGTTACGCTAAGAACTTTTGACTACTTATGGCCCCTGCTCTTGGAAATAAACAATTTGGCAGCGGGTTTTCGCTGTACATACCATTTTCTATTGCTGTGGGAAATTTTCTTCAACCTCGTGCTAAGCTTTAGTTCTTTGTATTTTATACCCTTTGTGTTTAGACAAAGTGATAAGTCCAGGTGGAAACTCCTGAAGGGTCACCGCTGCATCTACATATCGCGTTGTTATAGATCTCTAGCCATCCTTAGTTTTGGCCATCATCAACTAGTAATTCTCCGCGCTTGTCATCAGGGGCTTTGGGAGCCGAGGCAATTTCAGCGATGGCTCAGACGCGCTGTATGGTAAGTTAATCAACGTGCCACTTCCTCCATAGCATCCCATCTCCCCTGAATCGTCATGTCAATGCGCGCGTTTTTACTTATAGTGACGATTCAGTACTTCGATGAAAATGGCTCCGAACGTCATGGAGGTTGTTACTCGGGTGATCGATGCAAATTCGTTCATCCTGGAACCCCTGCTTGGGATACAGCCCCGACCAGAAGTGCTATAAGAGCTCGCGGAATGGGCAGAGGTGGATTTGTAGGTGGACTTTGGTATGCTTGTGGTAATCGTTTTGACCGACCTTTTCATCTCTTTTAGGGAGAATCGAGAGGGTCGTTTAGTCATGGAAGAGGACGTGGATCTGGGCCTGTAAATCAACCTAGTCCATCTTCGGCTTCGGGATGGGATACCGGAGGAGGATCTGATAATAATGCACGGACGTCGAGTTCGGGCTGGGCGATAACAAGTACAAGTACAAGTGCCAAAGGTAGACCGGATTCTTTCATCGTGGCACATCTAACGTATCATGCACCCCAGATACCGGTAAACAAGCCAATGTTGCCGCTGCTTCTCTGTGGGATAGTGGCGACGCATGGGGCAGCTCAAACTCAGCAGCAAAAGAATCCGCTCCTACAAGCGGATGGGGTGACAATGACACATGGGGCGGTAATGATACATGGGGTAGTAATTCCGGAACAAAAGATTCCTCTGCAGGCGGGTGGGGTAATGCTCCCAGTGACGACAAGTCTTCTGGTGGATGGGGTACAGCGGGGACGACGGACACGACGTCGCGCGCACAGAAGAAACCTAGCATCTCAGAAGCAGCGGAAACTTCTACAGGCGGCTGGGGTGACACCTCCAATAGCGGGTGGGGCAATCCTTCGGATGGCGACAAATTTTCTGGATGGGGCGCGTCGGGGACGACTGAAGTGACGTCGGTTGCACAGCCGAAACGTAATGATGCCGACCAAGAGAATCACAGATCCAAACCATCACAAGTCCCTCCACCACGGCCTCCGCGACGTGGCTCGCGGGCACAGGACGACGAGGAAGGCACGCGTCCCAAGATGAGCGGGACGAATGACGTCCCCATGGTCAATACAAGATGGAACAAGAAAGTGGATACGACAACGCCCCCGCTTACGGAGCCTTCTGAGAGATCTCGCCTTCCGCTACTCCAGACGAGCGCATTGAACAATGCGACTCCCAGAGAGCCACCTTCAATGTCTGCCAACCGCTCTGAGGACGACCGTATGGACGTGGATGATTGGAGACAGGATTCGATACCAGAGAAAGTTCGTGACGGGTCGCCTTCCCTATCGACACCGACAGGACCAGCTGTTACTCGCAAGAGGAAACACGCAGCCTCAGACCTCGAGAGGAAGCAGGATATCTGGAGGGATTTTATCAGGTGCGTGAAGCTGAACGTTCACGTCAAGAGCTTCGCTGAAACAACAATGCAGATTGTGCGACCGCGCTGTTCGAGCAAAAGTAGATCTCGCCAAGGCAGAGGCCGAACGTCAAAACTGGAGAAGGGCACAGAAGTCTACTAACTATTCCCGCATTGGCGAAGCTGGCCGCATTCGCCTGGATGGACATCGGGCAGAGCTTGAGAAAGTTTGTGCCGGTCACTCAGATAAACTATCGCAGGCGATCAGTGAACTTTCGGAGATTGGAGACAAGTTGAAATCTGGCATAGATTATGAACAACGTTACGATATTGGAAACGAGGTGACGCGCTACTCAAATGAAGTCGGGGCTTGGTTGTCAGATATTCGCCCACTACTCATTGCCCACACCACCGAACAACTCCAAAATACTGACCCTCCTGCTCCCCATGAAGATGAATCATCGGAAGAACCATCAGCTATTCCAGACGGTCTAGATCCACTGCGATCTCGTTTAGACAAACAGGAGGAGCAACTCGAGGAACTGCGAACAGCGCTGACGCTCGAATCTTCCAACAATCCTCTTGCTACTATCAACAACACAATTGACAAGAAGATAGATCTATTACGCAAAGATCGAGCGGAGGCTAAAGCTAAGCTGCCTCCACCGAAGGTTGTCATACCACCCGAGGCGACGGACGCTATAGAAGATGTTTCCCATAAAGCGGATGAGCTGAGCGCGGCTATGCAAGCGCCTATCAAGGACATAGCAGAACTACTCCTTCGTCAAAACGACATACAGAAATCACAGGCTTCTTGCAAAACTGAGAACGAGGAACTCAAAACATTAATAGCCAAGGTAGATTATTTGGCAGTTTTGTTTGGCATATCTCATTGTATCCCACTCTTTTAGCTTACCGAAACGTCCGCTGCGAATCGGAAACTGATCCAAGAACAAACCGAAGCCATTCACCGTCTCAAGGCTTCGCTCGAGGCAGCTTCTGAATCACAACGCACTCCTGCACCCCCTGTCGAACCCCCGGTCAAAGTCATGTTCGACGACCTTCGTGCAGCAGTCAGTGATGTGCTGCATGATATGGTATCCCGCGAAGTCGTTCCTACGATAAATAGATTGCGCGACGATTGCTGGTCAGAAAACCAGCACTTTCATAAGGAGGTGTTTGAGATAATCTGGGATAAAATTGAGCCCAGCTTAAAGATCGCTGAAGCTGTCAACCGGTGGGCAACAAGGTTAGAACTCCCTGCATCCTAATGCGTACCTCGTCAAGCCATCTATCCACTGTCTACTTGTTTGTAAACAATCATCTTACCTGTTCAGCTCTCGGATTACTCGGTTACTTCCCTTAATAAGTAAACTTTCTGTACTCGAGTCGGTGCGTCGGTCAAAGCCTCCGGCATGCTCCATTGTTACAGTCCACTGTCTCCAACGCTATAAAACTACTGTTGCACTGAAGTAACCGACATTTTCTTGAAATGAAGCCACATCCTCCGAAAGTGAGGCGTTGTAACGTGCGTGTTGGCGGAACGCCCAATAAAGTTGATTCAATACTGTTCGGAGAACTTACTACATTTACGGCTTCCTCAGCTCTGGGATGACGACAAGAAACCAAGGCGGGCTAAAAGGGGGTCGTTTGGTTGCTGGAGGAATGACAGTGATTGTTTCTTTGTGCATCCGACAGAAAGGGAATGGGACACGGCTGATTCGTCTTATCCTCCTCCGGCACACGAGGTTCTTGACAACGACAACGAATTCCGCTACGAGCTGAGCAGCAGACTCAAGAAACCAAGCAGCTTTTCTGTGTTATCAGAATCTCGTCGCGACCACCCTCGATACGCTAGCCCGTCCCAAAGTCCCCGAGCACCTCGACAGGACAGTAGGAACGACAAAGGGTCACGTTCACCTTCCACATCAGTGGCTGAATCTGATAAACTCGAAAAACTACGAAGGGACGACGGCTATCACCGACGCATGAGCATAACAGGTTCGTCGTCGTCTTTCTCCAGACGTCGTACTCCCCCTTTGGATGGTCGCGGAAGGCGCAGCGACCGAGCTCGCTCACCAAGACGATTATCACCACCGCGAACCCAAATGTCCGTAACAAAGACCATCATGCCGCCACCACCGCCACCACCACCCTCGCACCCACCGCCTCCTCCTCAAGGGAATTCGCCAACGGAACCACTACCTCCCGTTCCTATACCACCATCTATCCTTTCTTTAGACATATCAGAAAAGCCACCCGAAAACTTCAGAGCATTATCAGCAGATGATCTACGTAAAGTCTGGTATGAAAGAGTGGAGTATGTTTTTCTCCGTGCTACAGTCATTGACTCGCTAGCTAACCCATTCCCCCTAGTCTCCTTTTCGCATCTGTAAAGGCGCGCGAACAGTTGAGCTATGCGGAGGCAGACTTGAAATTGAATAAATTGGGCGAGTCCTCGCGCATAGGCAACGTGTCGGACGCTCGTGCCAGGGCTCAGACGGAGTTGCGGTGCCAGGCGAAGAAGAAAGAAATCTCCGATAGCATCCAAAAACTCACTGCATCAGAATTCTGGCCGGCTCTCAAGCCACCTGACTTGCAGAGCGTGGAAGCCAAGTTTTCCGACATGAAGCAACAAATATCAGAACTGAAAGATTCAGTTGGCGAGCTCAGTACATCTTTCTCTGCACTCCTCAAGCTAAAGCACCCTGGCAACGCCTTCGGATCAAGTGAACCCCCACTGAAGAAGCGGAGGTTAGAGGGAGAGGACGCCACAGCTGGTTCTGGTGAAGTCACTCTTTCACTCAGTGCCTTGGAGGGCATTCAAGCACGCTTGAGCAGTGTCGACAACAAGTTAGTCGACCTCCAGAATGACATCTTGCAGCGCAGCACGATCGCAGGGGATGAGATTGAATCTCGTATCGACGCTCGGCTGGAAGATGTGGAGATATTTCCAGATGAAGATGATGTGAATCCTTCGTCGGCACTTGTGACTGCTGTGGTGCAGGCTGAGACTGTCAAGGCCCTGGACATGATCAATTCAACCGGCCAACAGCTGGGAGTAGTGGCACAGGAGGTCGCAAACTTGATGATACAGAGCAAATGTACCGACGACGAAGCTACGCGGTTAAGACAGGAAAACGAGCAGCTCAAAACTGAGATCATCAAGGTAAGGAGTGACTCTGGAACGGCGAAAGTCTAGCTGACTAGTGTGCATTCAAGCTCAAGTCCTCGGCTGAGGCTGACGCCCAAGTGGTACAGCAAAATAACGAACAAGTAGAGGCTTTAGCAGCAGCTCTACAAGCCTACATCTCACAAGCTCCGCCACCTCCTCCACAATCAATTATTCCAACCCATGAATATCTCATGGAAGAGCTCGAAGACCATATTCTTTCCAGTTCCATTAAGGCCATCGAGCCTCTCTTGCGGGACATGAAAGACGAGGTCTCCAAAATGTTAAATGACGAGAATCATGCCATGTATCAAACACTGTGGCCAAAGATCGAACTTGTGTTACGCATGGTGGACACGGTTAAAAAGGGTAGTAATATCATTCTCGATCCGGAGTAAGAACGTGTAACGGTTTGCTGGAAGTTACACTTCCAACATAATAACGTAGTCTTACATCCCTACTATAGCAGAGAACATCCATTCGAATCCTCATTGGCATTCGATGTTAATGACATAGATATATTCACATACTGCAACATTCAAGCGTAGATGTACAAACGATCAGTCATATTCGTCGTCCTGTCTGAACGCCGCCGAATATGCCAATATAGTTCCATACACCAGGCTACACCGGAAACAGTGAGCCTTGAGAATGGTGAAATTGGAATAAACGTACCCTCCACCGATGATGGACATTGCACAGGCGCCTGGTTTCACAACCTCGGAATGGGTGAGGACGATGGGGAGCGCAAATCCAGTGACAACAACGATTGAAGTAAGGAAACGGCCAAGGTCCACAGCAGCCGTGGGGCTGTCACTTGAGGAAAACTCGTCTCCTCCGCAGTGGGCAAACAAGGCATTTGGCAGAGGAGCAAGCACGAACGTCAACGCTGAAAATACTTGAATAAGAATACCAGCGAACAACACACGCAAGTCATACGCACCAACTAACAATGGCAACCAATTCGCCCATAGCGCACATGAGAGTATGATTAACAGGAATCCAACAGCGAGCACGAATGACAGCAATATTACAGCTTCACATGAGTCAGTCGCCGCACTCCATACTCGTCAGTGATGATGATACGCACTCTTGAGCCCCGCTGCCATCGTGAATATGATGACAAGAATAGTGTTGGGGGAAAGCTTGCAAGCATACTAACAGCATAGCACCGCAGTGATGCTGACGTAATCATGATATGGGCAAGTACCGTACAAGGCTACAGGAACATCTGAATATAATGAACAAATGCGTGGCATTGAAACTGATGATATAAAATGCATAGACTATTGAAGCATGAGAAGTATAATGAACGAATAATGATATAATGCGTAATCTGGAACTATCTGAGTCTTCTGGACGGATTCCGAAGAGTATTTGGTGGTCTGTCCACCAACGCCCCCATGGTCGGTAGTCCGGATTTCAAAGTAGCAGGTTTCTTCAAGACTCTTGGAACTACAGGAGGTGCGACTGATATTTCAGTGAGGGTGGCAGTAGAGGAAGTTAAAGATGATAGCGAGACTGCAGGAGGTGAGGGTGGGACTGGAGTTTGTGGTTCGCCTGACCATTCGTTGACCGGGGTGTCAATCTCCATTTTCTCTGGAAGGGTTTCTACAGGAGATGGCGGGTGCTGCAAAGGAGGAGATTCAGAAGCATGCCTTGATGGCTCTCCTTGTCTCCGCGACTGGAGGATGGCATCTCGACTCTCCGTCAGCTCCCACTCATCCACGTATTCCCATGCCCGTTTTCGCGGTGTCATTCCAGTTGGAATGTCCTCACGGGTACCTTGATCCAGCAATGACCGAGCTGATTGGTGCAGTGAGGTGAGCCTCGAAGTCGTATTATTGCCGTGCCTTTCAATCGTGTCCGATAAGTTTGTGCTCTAAAAGGGATCAATGACGTTTTAATAAGAGCACCTCGTTGATAATGCAGTTGTACTGACCTCTGAAATTACACGACCGCTAAAGCCTTCAACGTTTCTTGAGCTGGAAGCAATACCTCGCTGCAGGAACCGTAACTCAGATTGTACGTCAGTCACCAAGCCATTCGTAGTCTCAATACGTGCTCTCTTGGCACGGTCATGACGATCAAGACCTCGAGGAAAATGAGAATCAAACGCAGACGGATAAACAGGATCACTTACTTGTGCCAAAGGAGGTCTGGAAAGTCTGACTCTGTCTTTGCAGCTCACCAGTATAAGTTGTAGTGGCTACTGTGATCGAATTATGCGTAGCCAATAGACCGTCCTTCAGGGCTCCTTGAACAGATCCGACGGTCTGAGTATGTTGTGATCAGCAGTTATAAAAAAATAAAGCAAACAAGCCAAGGCCCTCACTTTAAGAGCGCTATCTCGCGTCCTCTTCCCTTCTGTACCTCTCCGCTCAAAGGAACTTATGCCTTCCGAGCCACGTACTGTGACCTCGTTCATCATTTTGTCATGACGTTGGCCGAACTCATTGAATTCCTCTTGGTGTTTGGCATTGGCGTTGACAACAGTGCCACATGCTTCTCGCAGTTCGCGATCACGGGAAGCCACAAACTCCCCAAGTAGGCCTGATATGCGTTGAACGAGTACCTCGGTAGCCTTGGCGGATTTCACCTTCTCTGCTTCTACCATTTGAGCGAGAAGTGCATTTTGCTCCTGGAGTGCCGTGCTCTCCACCTTTGCCATGTCATCCACCAGGGACTTGGCCTGTAAAGCTGATTCTCCATCGGCCTTGACCAATTCGATAGCTTGAGTAACAGCGGTGTCGAGGAGCGTCCCCATAGTCTTCAAAACGTTCTCTAGCTGTGTCATGTGAGTTGAACGATTCATACATGAATAAAACAATAATTACTGATGCGAAGTTACTCTGATTCGCAGCGTACAACTCCTTGTACATCGTTTGGGATGTAGATCGTAAGCTATTGGACCAGGCACTAAAAGAACTTTTCATGGTCTCTTGCGATTCCTTGACAGCGTTCTGCATAGCTGTAAGAGCCTCTGTAGAGGCATCATCCTTCGCATTGATGATCCGAAGGGAGTCTTGAATGCGCTGGAGTTGTTGGTCAATACGCTCTGAATGATTCGTGAGGATCTCAAATTCCTTCGTCTGGAACTGTTTCATTTCTGCGCGTAGCATCTGCGTGCTGTGCCCTGCGGTCTTTATAAAGTCCTCAAGTTTCGTCGAGAGCGACTGCACTTCGGTAGAGATGGACCTTCCGTGAGAGGATACAGTTTTGATATTGGACGTCAACGTCTTATTCCTTCGTTCTGGCAATCATTGTTAGTTTGACGAACAAACAGGGAAGAAGCAGCAGCAATACATACGAAGCTTCTCAAAAAGTGCGCCAATGTCGTCTATGCTCTCCGTAGCAACCTGCTTCAGTCCCAAGGCCACCCCATCCAGCTTTTCTTCATTGATCTGGTACGCCTGGCGGACAACAATCTCCTCCTCGAGAGCTCCCTTCGCCATCTTCAGCTGGCCCTCTTTGACTTCCAGCTCTCCTTCAGCTTCTTTCAGTTGTTCCTTGACTTGTTTCAACTCCCCATCCGTCTTCATCAACAAAGCGATGCTTTGCTCGAACTCTTCCCTGACGCTCCTCAACTGGCTTTCTCCGATCTCCACTTGCTTCTTAGCCTCCTCCATCTCCGTCTGCCTGAGCTCCTGTTCCGTAGTGAGTTGATTCCAGGTCTCTTCAGAAAAGAAGATGCCATTCTTCTCGCGTGCGGCCAGGACGTCGGCCTTAAGACGCTCGATCTCGGCTACGTATTCTTTGAGCAAGGAGTTTCTTGTCATCCGCTGGTTGATCTCCGGCTTGTTGCGGATAGACTTCGCTCGGATGGCATAGTCAAGAGTAGAGAGGGTTTCTTCCATGTTTGAACGAGCGGGGGAGATGGTAGCAATGATGTATGTCTTTGTACGGCCACCAAGTGAGTCTTGTAAGAGACGGGTGAGTTTGGATTCCCTGCAATTCAAACTTGTCAGTATAACTCCTTAACTCACAGATTGAACACATTTACCGATAAGGAACATGAGTCGAACGCTCGACGAGGGCGTTTATAACCCGGCCCAAAGTTAGCAAGCTTTGGTTAATCATGCCCGCTTCTCGGGCCCTCTTGTTCTCTGCTCCAGAGCGTCCGATGTTCTCGGAGCCTGCAAGGTCAACGAGGTTGAACTTCCCAACCTTTAGGAGGTCATCTCCCATGGAAGACGTTTCTTTAGTATGAATAGTAATTGCGAATACAGAGTGCGAACGACTGGAGTGGTCGTTGAATTTGGTAGCTGCAATCTGCCGACGATGGCTACCTTTTGTGAGGAGGGCAAGTGCATCTGCAGCGTCTTTGACAGGTATCTCTTCGAGACCCTGAATAAAAACACCTTTCTTGCTAGCATCGTCAAAGATCTTGAGGCCAGCTTGGTTGTCGGTGGGGCCACCTTTTCCCATAGGCTGCGTGGATCCTGCAGGAGCGGACAGTTCGTTAGCGAGCAAGTCTCGAAGCTCCTCGTTGTAAAGCTCGATAAATGATATTTTGACACTGTAGTCGGTAGCAGATGTCTCGAGTTGGTGGAACAACCGGAAAAGGACCCTCGGTATCATGCCTGCTTGGGAAGATGGATTTCCCATCGGCGTGGGGGTCAGGTCGCCTTGCATAGTGTAACTGTAAACCCGTCAACAGTGATGACACAAGTAATTATGGAGGGAACATACGTTTTTCCAGTTCCTGTTTGTCCATATGCGAACAGAGTACAGTTGTAGCCCATGAGGACTTCGTCTAACATGGGGCTAACAACCTCATGGTAAATCATAGCTTGGTCCGCTTCTGGGCCAAAGACGAGATCGAAAGGGTATGTTCTTGTAGGCGCCAAAGTAACAACGCCTAGGCTAGAGACTGGCATGGAGGTCTCGATGGTGACTTCATGACTCTTTGCCCCGTTAGAACTGACGATGATGGGGGAGTTCTCCTGGATTTCGCGATCAGAACGTCTACGGCAGCGAATTGCAACGTGGATGTGAGTCTCAGAGTCGTCCTGGCCATGGAGCTTAGAGCCCTTCAAGGATGATGAAATCGCGAGTGCGTGCTCTGGGCGTTCGTCTGTGGGTGACGTGATTGTAGACAGGGCAGGCTTAGACTTTGACATAGAAGATTGGGGCTTTGTGTTTATTGTAGGCGCCTTTGGGCGGGAAGTGGTTTGTCTTCTCGTAGCCATCGAGGACATTGTCGACAGCAGCGAGAGGACGGTATCAAGTGAAGAAGCGACGAAAGCCCAAAAGATGGGTCAAAACGCGTCCAAGAATCAACAACGCGACTGTGTCACGTGCATTCGTGGGAAGTGACCACAATATTTCTATTCCACTGTCTAGTCAAAGTTGATCCTACTCTTGAGCAGCTATGGGAAAACGCAAGAAATCCTCTAGAAAACCAGCTGCGGCCACAGCAGCAAGGAGAAGGGAACCATTAGGTCTGTTAGATGTCTTTTTATCTGCTTGTCATAGTTGAATTGTCTGATAGATACTGCCTTCACTTGCTTGTTCTGTCATCATGACAAGTCTGTGACAGTAAGAGTCGACAGAAAAGAGGGCATCGCCCAGTTGGTCTGCAGAGTATGTGACCAGCGGTATCAGAGCAAAGTTAACCGTGCGTACCAGTCGGATTAGACCAGTTTCTACCTCTTGATTACCATTCCTTTAACAGACTTGACCGAGCCCGTGGATATCTACTCAGAATGGCTAGATGCTGCTGATGCTGCACAGAAAGAAGATCACGGCACTCGCAGACCAACTGCTTCATCAAGCAGACCAGCTCCCGCACCGCCCTCTGTCGGGAGTGATGACGATTGATCTGAGACTTGTAACTATCTTATCTTCTCCTCACATTGTACAACAGCAATTGCAAGACAGGCTATACAATTAGAATCTCACCGATGCATATCCGGTTTTAAGCTTCTGTGACGCACCTGAATTAATTTGCGAATTTACCTAGGATTATCTGAAGATGGGGATTCCAGGGTAGATCCTGCGGCCTGAGCGGGTAATATCCACGTCGTATAAATTATTTATGCCTGTTCTTGTCGATATACGAAGAGTTGCCAGGGGAGGAATAAATTTACTAATAAGCTGTGGACTGCAGCGGTATGACAAGTACATAGTACCGAATGTTGGACCTGAAATAGAACACGTGCTTTAGCCCTTTCTCTCTCATTTAGCGCTTCGTGGCTCACAGCCTGAGACCCGGACCCATAT